AGTCTTAACGTTTTTTAATCTAATTTAATTTTTTATTGGTTATAAAAAACAATAAATAGAATTAGTGTGTAGTAAATGACTATTTTAAAATTTAAATGTTTTAAGAAATATTTTTGCCTATNTGGACANTCTAGATGGAGAGAAAAGTGTCTAATTATATAATAGATTTGTTTTACCATCAAGTTTAAACTGTAAAATTTGTGAGTTAAAGAATCAAACGAGTGAACTTGTTCATTGATGATGAAAGAGTCAACGGTTAAAAAGTAAATAAGATGTTTAGGATTGAGACTTGAATATGTTTCTATTATCTTTTCTTTTATTCTATACAAAACGTTAGGCTTTAATTGCCTAATGAGTTAAGAATTGAGACTCTGTATCTAATCAAAGCCTTTGATAATGATTCAACTCCATCTTCAAGATCTTGAATGCATGACTCTAGACTTTGAACATCTTCCATCTTCAAGGTCTTCTCGGATAGCAATTCGGAATCAATCCTTGTAAATTCGTTTGCTTGAGCTTCACATGTAACTTTCTTCTTGTTCATTAGCTTTGAGACGACTGACCATTTGCCACAAGTGTTTGATCCAGACATGTAGCTAAAGAGAGAATCAAACAGAGCAATTGTGACGGCTTCTGCTTCTCGAAAGACAGCTAAAGATTCTCCCTCTTGTGCAAATTTCAAAGGCTTTTGTACTTTTTGGAATGTCTTGTTGATGGACTTTCTTGAAGCCAAGTATTTTTTTACCTCTCGTGATAGATCTCCGCGTTTTCTTCGTAGAATAGATTGGATCTCGATCAAACCCTCTTTCATTTGTGACAAAGCATCCTTTGAAATGTTGCACAAATCCAAGATCCTTAAAGATCCATCAAGAAGCTGCTCGACGGCTTTCTTGTTCTGTTCTTGAGATAGAGCTTGTTGTGTTACGGGTAGGCGAATAAGCTTCTCAAGGAACTCATGAAGCTCTTGAAGGTTGTCAAGTCTTTTACAGATAGAAGAGCTTGAAGATGTTGAGGCTTCCTCCGAAGATCTCAATCGGGTTAATTGACCTTCGACATGAGCGGCTTGTGGGTGAAGTCTAGAGGGAAGACTGTTAGAGCGAACGTGGAAAGAGATTGCCATTTTTGTGTATCTTAAGTTGTTTGATATTGATCAAAGATAAGATGTTGAGAGAGAGAGAAAGATGTATGTTCTGCCTTCTTCATTGCATCTCCGGTCAATACTTATATACACCATGAGGAAAGAGAGACATGAGGAATCTCATGGTGTTAAAAATATGAAAACCATTAATACAATGTTCCCCTTTCAAGGTGGCATAAGGCATCTTCTTCCAAGATCTGAGATCTCCACCATATAAGCTCAGTGTCTCCCTCCAACTATATATCTCCATTTACTTAGTACATTGAGATCTGTTTCATTGCAATGAGTAAGCTGGCTTTTCTGCTATTGAATAAAAGGTGTAACCGCACGAGCACTCTTAATAGCTTCTGTCAAATCCAGCTTGGTTTTGTCTCCTGCCTTTGAAAATTTTGTGAATATTTCTAACTCTCTCCGTGTGGTATAACATTTGTTGCACACGTTTGCATTATGAATTTATGATTATACTAATCAAAAGAAAGCATATTTGGACAACTGTGTGATAATGGTGAAGTAGTGGCAAGATCCGTATTCGTAGATTATGGCATGTGAACAGAACCACAATGGATTACTCAACACTTTTTGGGGTTATATTATAATCTCATGCAAACATGAGAGGTTCACGAGATATTTCGGATCCAATAGTCACTTTTTACACACTTTTTTTTTTGCTAACAAAACTTTTTACACACTTGGATACAAATTATCTATCAATGGGTCGTTATTACTAAGGGTTCCTGAAATTCTGTGGAATGCCTTGGTAGCATCCATCATTTTATTTACATAATCCAGTTTATAAAAGAATACATGAACAGATCTCAAGAAATATCTCTAAGGAACGACCGAACAGCTTCTAATGTATATGCAATGAAGTGACCAATCTACACCTAAAGTTGCACACAAATATACGTCCTAGTGTCCTACTCAATTCTTACTGGCAAAGCCTTCTTCTGTTTCTCACTAACCCTTATGCAATGCATCGGCCCTGTACTAACTACTTAGCACTGGAGGTAGATGTTGTCATGAAGGATTCACCACACCCACATTGCCCTTGCGAGTTAGGATTGATAAACACAAACTCTGATCTGCATTTTAAATCAAACATTAATAATAAGGTTTCAAATAAACAGACTCTCTCAGTTTGTAATATGAAAAGAGGTCCAAACCTGAGTTTATCATCTATGAACAGAGGTTCCAGTCACATGCATTAAGGCTTTTGGTTCAACAAGTATTCTCACACCTTTCTCCTCCACCAGCTCATCAAATTTCTCTTTCTCATCTGAAACAAAATGGTTGCATAAAAACTCGATAGCCCTTAATACATCATCGATGAGCCTAAGAACCAGATTCAACAAATAACACGATTCCCAGATTGAAACTTGAACAAAAATC